TAATTAAGAAATAATCGTTTTGTTGTTAAAAATAAACTGTAGATATAGAAGTTATACTCGGATCGGCTTTGATTCAACACGGTTCGTCTGTGTGCATATGAGTGCAATAACACGCCCTTGCTTCGTTCACAATTGCGTGCGACGATGACCACTCTTTCCAAGTACATAAACAAATTTACGAGACGTCGCGTGCCGTTCTTCTGACCACCGGACAATCACCGGGGTCCGTGATTTGTCTTCGGCCATACCCATTTTCTTTTTACGATTGAATTTCCTGGAAAGGACTGAAAATCGATTCTCGAAACTAGCTTTAAGTCAGTCTTCATAATTAGTACAATTCAGATCATTGAAAAGCGGCCGACAATTGCACGAGTATTTGTTTATGTGCGCTCGCAAAAATTAATTTGCCCGGTTAGGATATCAAAGGACACACGAATACTCGGGTAACAAGACCGACCATGTATAAGCAGTCTCAAACTGCGTTTTTAATGAATATAAGGCCGAGGAAAGTAGGACTTACAAAAAAGATTTTTAATGCTCAACAAATAGAAATTGTCTAGATATGCAACTAGATGATCATATTTAGTTCCAATGAATTTCCACTGAAATCAAAGCCAAAATTTCCATTCTTTTCTAATTTTGAACGGTGTGTACCACTGTTGAAAATTACACGTGACTCAATATTTTGATTACAGTTTTCGAATCGGAATGAGATCAATATTAATACAACTTGTTTTATTGTCCTGATTTAAGTACAATGGAGTCGAAAACACGCTTTTTCCTTGTTGGCGCTAGTTACGTCTCCCTAGTCCAAGACGCTTTCCAACGCAACGCGATGTTGCCGCATTATGGTGCACTTATTACTGTGGGAAAATAAGCGGAGAACATTTCATGCAAGAGGATTCCGAGTGAAAGTAGCTTCTCAATTATGAGGATGTGTTCAAATTAGCCTTGACTCGGCAGCTTTGTGTTAATCGCTCAGCCGATAAAAAGCAAAACTATCCTCCCCTAACCATTTCCAATTATTCATTTTTACGGAGTATACTTTCGGTTATAAATGTTTCATTTATAAAACGTTAACGAATCACTCAATGAAGAATTGCAATATAAAGATGACACTACAACTATTAAGAAAATAGTGATAATAGGGGTATTCACGATCTTTGTGTTAACTCTGTTAGGTCATGTTAGATCGAGAAAAATGATAACGTAGACTTGTACGAATCGGCTAGTTAACAGTGCTCGATCTAACAGGCTGTTAGATGTCAGGTCGAAAATGTAGTCACATTGGTACCCGTTAAGGCGTAGGTTACCAACATGGCAGCCATGAATTTAACAGCTGTTTTTTTGTTTACACGTATTTACATTCTTTAATGCGCATTAATTAAATCAAACCAATACATTTCTTTGGTTAATGTCTGACCTGTCCTTATACTCTCATTCATAATAGATACATCCCCTATCCTATAAAGTAGGCTGTTAGACGTAATAAAAGTTAGGAATGTCGGCATGAATTAAAACGTGTCATTTGTTAGTACTTTCCAGTGTATAGATAGCATTTTGAATGAAAGAGTTTATTAATGTTCCTTTCTGGCATCTTACAATTTAACACAAAAGAAAACCAAAACATACAACAAGCCTTCAAGGACTGTTATGGCTTTATTTTTGGTTCTACAAATCGCCACGCGCAGCATTGCTGAAAAATTAACGTTTAACATGTTAAGAAAAGAAGGTGGCGTTCACGATCTTACTAGACATTCCTGTATTGGAGTTAACACGAGTTAACATCTTACAAACATCGTGAATACCCCTATTTATAGAAATGATAAATGGTGGAGTGAGTGTGCTGTTGAATCTCTCCAAAACGATAGTTCCTACTCACAGTTAGTTGTTTTCAAAGAAGGAGTTCTACAATCTGATGATGAGCTATAAGCTTAAAATCCGGATCGTGAAAACAACTAACTGTGAGTAGAAACCGTCTTTTTGGATAGATAGAGATAGAAATGATAAATGATGGACTGAGTGTGGTTTCAATCCTTTTTAAAAAGATAGTTCCTACTCACAGTAAGTTGTTTCGCAACGATCCGGATTTCGAGCCTTTTAGCTCATCATCAGGTTGTAGAAGTCCTTCAACCTGATGATGAGCTAAAAGGCTCAAAATCCGGATCGTTGCAAAACAACTTACTGTGAGTAGGAACTATCTTTTAAAAAGGATTGAAACCACACTCACTCCATCATTTATCATTTCTTGATAGAGATATTTTGCATAACGTTTCTGCTATTTTATGGTCTTTCAAATAACGATGACACTATGTGAAGACTTTTTGCATAATGGATTTTGCCGCTAACGCTGTTTCCTGATGAGTTTGTAGGTATAGGTTATAGTCGTATCTTACAAGCTTGTAAACGAAGGGACACGGATGTTGTGGATTTTCTCACGATTGCTGACGAAAGTTTGGTAAATACTGAGGCTCTGATGGTTTTAGAAGCTCTAACGTACAAAGTATTCGGGGCAAGTTCAGTTTTAAAAAAATTATGACGAAATCTGTCTCTTAGAATCTGATAAAGTAATCTTAGATAGGGCCTGTTTTACACAATTGCTGGGCTTTATTGAAGGAAAGACGTATAAGGCTGCCGTACATCTAGCTGTTATTCCTGCTTTTATGAAATTAAAATGCTAAAAATGTATATAAATGAAGCTAAATATTTTAACGTTGGAACACCAAATATACATAAATTCTTAGGAGTTGGTATTCATGAACAATTGTAAATTTATAAAATTATAACTATAAAACAAACAATATTATTATTTTTCCACGTATGTTATATTAGTTTTTAAAATTGGACAATATCTCTAACAAAAATAAAGTTCGTTGGTTTTACCGTCACTCGATAACAAGCACCTTAAGACAAATAGCGTAAGCCTATTTCAGGTAGCGTTCCTTTAAATATGCTCATGCGCACATCAATCAATTTAGCGTTACCGTTCACAATAACGTTATGCCAAATCTCGCTATTAACTGTACTTGTAATGTTATTGCTATAAATAGTAAACAATTAGTAAATTAAATAGTAAATCTTATGTACAATTGAAATTTGTTACAATTTTGCTTTGTCTTCAAGCTGTTATCATTTGAATGATTTTTTCTCTGGGACGAATTGCACATTTTATAAACTAAATGCACCGCCGAAAGCATACCCACGCTGTGATGCATTATAATGAGTAAACATGAGCAAATGACTAAAAAACGGTTAATTAGATCAATGTTCGAATTTAATACATATATTTTTAGTAGTCATAATTGACCTATTAGTTATTTTATTTATCTATACTTTTTTTTTTTAATTTAAGGTCTTGGTTGAGATGAAAACGTGAGGGTCACGAGAGGGATTCGAACCCATCACCTTCTAAATACGCCACTGCTCTAAACACTTGTACTATCGAGACTTCAAATCAAATTAATAGACCAATCATGACTACTAAACATTTATTAATTTGTAGTTCGCACTACCAAAGAAAAAGACTGGCCTCAACTCATTCACATGTTGGAATAGTGGGCGGTGACAAAATATTTATTCTAAATCCAGTGGTCATTTCTTTTAAAGCATTAATTTTTATATGTGTGCAAATAAACTTATTTTCGTGGTAAATAAACTTATTTTATATTTAAAGCTTCTTTCTTTACTTAATGTGTAAATAAAAAATGTTTATGTTACATTTATTGAAATTAGTCGGTTTGACAAGTCGGTCGAATAAGCTGAAGGTTAATACTAATAATGACTAATCACTATTTGGATAAGGCCCAAAAAGTCAGATTTTTTTAGTGACAGTATATTTTGTGACATGCGAGCAGTACAAGGCTTGGCCTGGACAGTACAAAACTGATCATTTATTGAACGTAAACGTTAAGTCCCGTTGAAGTCCAAACGTCATTTCATTGTTTTAACTAGGAACGATTTTCCCCGACATTTATTTTAAAAAGAGAAAAATCTTATTTTTCCGAGATAAATACCAAAACCTGTAATTGTAGTCTGTTAACGGGGAGAATGAAGTTCAAAAGTCGTAGGAGCAGGTGAGAATAAATTGAGTTTTAGGTCAGTTGGGGTTTCTAGTCAATTTGTCTCTGGGCCTGGAAGCTTTTATAAACTAATTTTCTGAAAAACTACCCCCTCAGTCTAGAGTTGTTGTAAGGGAGTCTGATAAATGCCCGAGGGGAAGGGGCGAAGAAGGATTAATGAATGTGTTCCGACCTACTTTTTTCCTATAACTTGTAAAACTCTTTTATTGCAATCACTGCTTGAGAAAGGTCAAAAAATTTAATTAAGAAAACGTAACCTTTGTTGATTAAACCTTGTCAACTATGCGTACCTATGATTATTTGGAGATCGTGAGATGCGGTCTGGTGTGACGTAGGTTTTAGAAAAACATTTTCTTTGTCATGCCAAGGTTTCGATCTTTATTGAGATCATCTTCAGGGAGATCATCTACAAATCTCCAAATAATCACTAATTAACGGTCACTAAACACCACACATATGCGTATTTGCGAATGGCGTCTTCTTCATTTCGGAGAGATTTATAAAACTTACCAAACCGTTTAACGTAAAATTATCGTAATTATCTTAATTATCAGCTCCACCTCTCGCTTTATTAGTACTTGTTGGGGGAGGGACAACAACAACGCCCTGTCCTGCCTGAGGTTCGAGTGCCTCAGATGTGCACAAGACTTGCTCGGACCTAGAAGGGCGTCTACAGGACCGACTTACAAAACAAGCATTTTCTGTTGGTGTGTGGTCGAATTTGGTTTTGTCCTTCAAATCGTTATCTAATATTGGTGTTGGTTAGAAAAGTAAATTGATAATTTTCATTGCAATTACTTCCTTATTTTTAGTACTATAGGTAATATCCTTTAGTCGGGATAGTCCTAGAAGTAGGCAGGGACAACTCACATAGTGTACAGTCAATAGTATCAAAAATAAACCAAATTTTTTCTGTTTCAGGAAAAAGATCATCGAGCATGCACCAGGTGAGATTTTACGTCCATTAAGAATTTTTGCAAAGTTTGCATCATTTTTTGAAGGAATAGAAAAATCTAAGATAGTCATACATAGAATGAAAAACACTTGCCACTCATCTTATTTTTATTTAATTTCATTTCGTCGCCTACTCTCATAATAATAAATTGATTTCAGTATAAGGCGCTTATAGCATAAACTTCAGTTTTCAACCACTAATTTCAGAAGTCGTATACGAACATGAAGAATTATTTTTTATGCAAAATATATGCAATTTCAAGAAAAACGCCGTCGTGGTAATAGAGTCCATACGTAGTAATGCCGTCAAGGACGTATCTGTAATGATTCAGACGTGTTTTTCCAGCGCGTCGTGCGCCTGGTCTTGTACTCATTTCTATTTTGAAAAAAAAATCCTTCTGCATAAACGAGGTAATTTTTCTATTTCAATGTCCATATTTCTCTGTCGACCACTCATATTTCGTTCTGTTCATTTGTAAAGAACCTTCTATACACAGGCGCCCGAAAGACCACAGTGAAACTAAAGCCGAAGATCGTGGGTTCGAATCCCGCTCGTGACACTGACTATTTTATCTCAACTAAAAACCTTAATTAATTGAAAGATATTAATTGGTCAAGCGGACCACGAAAACTAATGAATTTAAACATATTGTTTACAACACCCCAGAACGAATTTTGTAAAAATAACACACCCTAGAAGAAAGAGTGAAAGATCTCACAGGTGCATGTCTCCATGCATGCGAAAAAACGTAGCGCAAGGCCACCCGAGCCTAAAAAAACATCAGGTCATTCCCCGGAAAAAAATGTTTTCCAACACCGAGGAGCGGAACTTGCAAAAGCTGCGATTCGAAGATGCATCAGGGCGTGGAAATCCAATTATTGTCGAACTTAACCTCCCAGGGGAGGCATATCAATGTTGAACGATTAGCCTTTCGCCCCGAACGATATCAGACTTTTTTCCAACAGCACTACGCCCTAATAGTGAAGAGTTTAAAGCACGTTTCTGTAATAAACACATGCAATTTTTTATTTATTATAATAATTTTTTTCCCCGGTGCACACAAGCTTCCGCAGGAATTGTACTCTTTTTCCAGCAGGACATGCTTAATGGGCAGTACTGTTCCCACGAGCGCAATTCGGTGACGGAATCTTGCCTATCCTGTGAAGGTAACCTGTGAATGGACCATGTCCATTCTGAATGGTGGTCATGTTGGGAAAATTTTGTAGTAACTCCTTTATTTTTACTCTAGAGCGAGCTGAAGGGCAACTGTTTAGTTTTATTTGTGCTGCTCCTGTAGTCTGCTCCCAATTCAGGTTGCAAACGTTGATGGCCAGCTGGTTCTTGATGTAACTTTTTAAGGATTTTGTTGAACGTCACTTCGAAAGGTCCTTTTGCTGTCCTCCTTTGTGTGGTAGAGGTTCCCATTTTCCTGTACATTATTACTGTGTTCATTAACCCAGTCCTTAACAATGGCTTGTAGAGCTTTTTCGGCCTGGTTGTACAGCAATGTTCATGGAATCTGGACTCAACCTTGTTGTTGATTGTAAACCATAAATGCGGCTCTCACACCTCCATCTCTGAATATGGTGAGTGTTGCTTGGTGATCTGTTTTGTTCTTTTATAAGCAACTTGTCTGCTGGATGAGCCATGTTTCTGAAGCTAGTGGGTCTATTAAGGCCAGATTGTTCCTCTTCCAAATTTTTATAGCCTCTTGTTATTAGAAATAATTCACTGACTGTCGAACCTAACCTCGAGGATACGATCAGGTAACCTTTTATAGAGCAATTGGATTTTACTTTAATTGCGCTGTACAATATCATGAACAATGTGGCTCTGTCATATACCACCATAATTCCTAAGAGCCTCCGATCCCAATCCTTTAGATATTTTCGCAGCTCTTGACATTGCAATGACTAGCTTTTACGTTCTTGAAGTACTTGCACTCTACTCGTCCTCTCTATGTCATTCTAGAATCGAATATAAATTCCAAATATTTAAATTCATTTACCTCTTGCCATTTATTTGTTCCCAAGAAAACATATATTTCATGATTATTTGGAGATCGTGAGGTCTGGTGTGACGTTGGTTTTAGAAAAACATTTTCTTTATGGTGACAACGTTTCGATCTTTATTGAGATCATCTTCAGGGCCTGAGATTTATAAACATTAAATTCACTAGTTTTCGTGGTCCGCTTGACCAATTAATATCTTTCAATTAATTAAGGTTTTTAGTTGAGAAAGAAAATCTTAATTAATTGGAAGATATTAATTGGTCAAGCGGACCACGAAAACTAGTGAATTTAATAAGTTAAAATGAAGTATACTTCACTAAAGCTCTCCGTGGCCATTTGTCGCCGAGAATCAAATAGATTACACGACATTTGAAAAATGGCAAAAAGGAGGGAAAATTCGAGAGGTAGGTTGAGATGGGAAGTTGGTGTCCGAGCGGATCGAAGTCACGATAGCTCAAGTGGTAGAGCAGCCGAAGATCGTGGGTTCGAATCCCCGCTCGGACCCCAACTTCCCTGACTTTTTATCTCAACTAAAAACCTTAATTAATTGATTTATAAACATTGTTTAAATTATACAAATACATGTAGGATGTGAAAACAGTGATTTTACAAAATCTTAGAAATTGAATTTTGAATCGATCAAAGTATTTGTAGATATTTCATGTTTTTTTTTATTTTTTTTTTTTTAGATTCTTGTTTGATTAAAGACAATATTTTTTCGTCTAGCCCAACGATTAATTATTTGCAGTGGTTTATTGGCTGTTAACTGTAATTCAATAGAATCAGCTGACGATACTATGAGTAAGTAGGCATCCGCAAATGCGACAGCACTACATTCGCAGGTAGTTCCAGTATCAGTGGCGAATCGTAAAGTATTACACAAAAGCCAGGCCCTGTGGACAAATTTTTTTTTTAAACATTTACATTACATGAGGTATTATTACTCGTCGTTCTTTGCTCGGCCGTCAAAAGGCAGACCGGATAAAAATCACTCAAAAATCACCGAGCGAGCAAATTGAAAATCATTCCAAAATCTCTGTCCTAATTTGAGACAAACACAATATAATATGGGTGAAACTGAACAGGATTAGAACATTTTATGACGAATAAGGATCGCAACAATGAAACGACACAAAATACAGAAGTTGTATATATGACAAATATAACCCACCGGTTATGCCGGATGAGTAATTCGTCTCAGTGCTTGCATTCCTGGTGAGTTACGGGTAAACATAAAGGCGATTCGTCCGGGGAATTGTCATGGTGATTCCTCTCATCGTGTCGACTCATAGTTAAACTACCTAGTTCAGAACACTTGTGCGATTCGCCAATGGCCTAGTCGCATATCCGGCTTGTGCAATCGGAAATGCTTAACTCAAAACGCTTATTAATTTTTCCGCGAAATGCAACCGTAAATTGATAATAACCAATTATTACTCTAATATATGACTATATTGATACAATTTATATTCATTTAGAACCTAATAAAATAAATAGGGCCGTCTGAAAATTATTCAAATATTGTCTCTTGAACATTATGAGGTTTAGAATTCGGTCGAAAACGTATGTAAATTATGTAGGTCCATTTAAACATGCAAATTCAGCTTTGAGTTTTGGCACTGTCCTTTAACACACGGTTTATTATTGCAACTAATTATTCTTTATTAGACTATTTACGTATACATTATGCAAATATAAATAAAGACCATATTTTTGTAAAAATTGAATTCATGATTCAATTGTTCTAAGTCGTGTTACATCGAGAAAAATGATGACGTAGGTCAAATTAGAATTGGCTAACATTGCTAGATCTAGAAAAATTGGACCTGTGTTAGCTGTTAAGTTTGATCGAATAGCATCAGTGTATATCGACTGTTATGACTTAGGAAACATGGTTGTCATAAATTGAATAGTTGGTTATTTATTGTTATGTAGCTTTATTTTTAAATTCACTAGTTTTGTGGTCCGCTTGACCAATTAATATCTTTCAATTAATTAAGGTTTTTAGTTTAGTGTCACAATTGCTCATTGCTCTTGTTTCAACATTCAATATTAGTCACATTTAAAAACAATACGAATTACACTTTAAGTAAGGAATTGGTTGAAATAAAAAAAGTCAGTGACACGACTAGGATTCGAACCCACGATCTTCGGCTAGATAAGCCGCTGCTCTACCACTTGAGCTATCGTGACCTCGATCCACTCGGAGACACTAACTTCCCATCTCAAGCCCACCTTTTGAATTTTCCCTCCTTTTTGCCATTTTTCAAAATCCTTTCTTTTCCGACCAATACATTTCTTTTGTGACCTATCATAATACCCTCATTCATTGGAGGCATGGGATCATCACAAACGATGTATTTATGTTTAATCCTCCAATCGATGCAGTAAGAATGTTCATGACTGTGTTCACGAGCTTTATCTCCTTATCTGGACAGTTCTGATATTTGTCATTGCTCAAGTGCGGCATGGATTTACTTGATTTAATTTCTCTCTCTTCTAAACACTCACTTATTTCACTGTATAATTTTTCACCCAAACTAAAGATTGCAATTTGAATCAAAGACTTGATTAGTCTTATCTTTCGTCTGTCTTTAAACATTTTAAAAAGAAAACTCTTTCTTCACAACTCAAAACAAAAACTTTACCAATAATAACCTTCAAGAATTGAACTTTGGCATGTTCTACAGTTGCCACATGCGGCACTACCACGAAAAACTAATATGTTATAATCGAAATAAGGGGAAAAAAGCGTTCACAGTCTTACTGATCATTTTCCACTCGACTTAACATGCGTTAACACAAATCGTGAATTCCCCTAGTATATTTTGACCTGAAATGAATTCAAATCATAATTGTATGTTATGATTCAGCTGTTCATTCTGTTATGTTACTCGTTTATTTCCGCGTTCAACTAATATAAAGGGTGTTCGGCTACTCGTGTAACTTTGCAAGCAGATTCTACATTTAAAATAGAACC